TTTTGTTAAGAATATTAATTAGACTTTTTATTGGGTAAATAAATATCATTAGTAGTTTTCATCAAACACTGACTAAAATGAAAATTTTCAAGATGAAAGATAAATGACGTGATTGAATGAGGACGTGCATGTTGTAAAAAGGGAGAGAAACTTATCTATCGTGGATCCTTGTGCTTTTCTTGTCATTTTTTCGGCTTAATTATGAAATAAGTATTTAAACAATAGAGTTTTTTACAAATAGGTGTCTAGACTTTTGTGAATGATTCATGTAACTTTGTAATTGTTACCACTTTAGGTACCCAACTTGTAAATGATGTTAATTTTCTCCATTACATGAGACATTTTACATTCTGATAATTTTTAAAATTTTATTTCAAATTAAAATATTAAAATAATATTAAAAACATAAAAATTTTGAAATAGCCCCAAAACTTTGAAAACTCTCATTTCCACCCCTAAACCCATGTTGGTCGCTACCCTTTGCCGTCGATGAAACTCCACTAAGTTAATAATCTTTAGTGTTTGATAGAAATTAGAGGAAGATCGATATAAGCAATGGGTTTTAGCTAATAACTAGAGCTTAATCCACTGTCAAATATGAGGTTAGGATTTCAACGACTAAAGGGAGTAGTGTTGAATCGATAGATTAGATGTTGTTGCTCAGGCCGAGAGGATTTACTGTGGCATTCTCATATGTCATATCCCATGACTAGAGATAGCGTAGGGATACTCATAGTAAACTCTATCGAACAAGTAAGACATAGAAGTTTAAACCATCCTAAAAGATTATAGTTAATATTCCTGAGTGTTCCCATCATTCATTCCCGTAATAGCTTGTTATGTAAGGATTATCAAGTCATCTTATTTAATTCCAAGTTATCAATATATTTTGCCTTAGCATTTTCATTTGACTGCATATAAAAAAATTACTTTCGCCATGACATTCTCATTTGCCACCCACTCACACTACCATTTATACTCCACCTATACACATCTCATTTTACCTCGACATAACCATTTGTGCATACATTTAGCTATACTTAGATAAAGTAGTTTGTTGCTTTGACTTAACTAGTAATCTCCTCCAATTCGTATGGACACGATACTCACTCACTCTATATTGCTTGTTTGATTGTGTATACTTGCCCATATTTTCACGTAATTTATAAGAACTCACAAGCGGAACACCTCCTCGCCCCTGAGCGTTACCATCCTTATAGGGTGGTATAGAAGGACATTGACCTCTACGGGGTGGCATACTATTTATTGAGTTTGAAATCAAATGTAAACATAAGCTAAAGTCAGATCTAATACTAGAGTCTTGAAACTGTATAACTTATATAAAAATTTCATATTAAAAAATAGACAAGATTAAATCATTTAACAAAATTTACACTTAAAAATATTTTATAAAACATTTCTCATACCTAAAATTCTTTTTGGTACATGCTAAAAATTATTTTTTAGAACAATATAATTTTGAAGGATGACACAATCTAAGAGTTGTAACTTAACCCTAATATGATTAATTGTAACCCCCTAATCCAATGTGGACATTACTACTGATTCTCAAAGAACATACTAATTCGGATTAATTGAAATCATGAAAGTTTTAGATTATAGCATGTATAATTCAAAAAATTGGTATAAATTCATAAACATAAATAAGGGTCCATAATATATATATATATATATATATATATATATATCATAATACGAGTTTAAATTCTAAAATAAGTAAAAATATAATATTCCAAAGTCCCCATATAAATATATAAAAATTTAAAGAAAAAAGAAATAAAATAAAGTCTATAAATGTTCATACTACGTCTGAAAAGAAAATGTGATACTAGATGATCCTCTAAATACCAATTAGAACTTTAAAGGTATGAGGGATCTAAAAGGATAGAAATTAAAAAGTGAGCAAAAGGTCTCAATGTGTCATCTAAGTGCAACAGACGTTGATAACATACCATAAATAACTCAAACATGTCATAAAGATGCGAATTTAAATTCAGGAAGCAGTAAACCTTGACCATTATCAAAATATTATAATAGGAAATTTGATACAACCTTACTTTTCATTGCGAATACATGATAAGGACGTTACCCTCCGAAGAGGTACCAAATTAGAATATGAAATTCAAGATGTGAATGATGCCCTCCGAAAAGGATCTTAGTCAGAATTAGAAATCAAAATGGGGTTATAGCCTTCCGAAAGGATCTTAAATAGATTTGGGATAAGAATAATTCTCTCTGAAGAGGATTCCATGCATATGAAAAAAATACATCAACACATATGAAAATTGATGCAATAATAATAAGAAGTCGAATATATCACATATAAACATAACTAGAATACCAATATACTTATAGATAACATCATAAAGTATAATAGCATAACATTATTAAATGAATCATACGGGTGAAGGAGACACACATATAGCAACTAATCAATACCAACTAAGTTTTATGCTTCCCACGGTTGATAGTCTTAGGTCATGTGGAATGGAGACTTAAAAATAACTCACCACTCTATGAGTACAAAAACCATACATCTAAACAAAAATAGACTATTAAGTCACTAAATAACACTTATGTGTATCTCGATACAAACAAGTAAAATTAAACTGAGTTGAGCGAGAGAGGTCGAGATCTACTAAAGAGCGATGAGGAATCTCGTTATCACCTTAAGAACATAACATCAAAAAGTGAGGATAAAATCCTATAATTTACTTAATATAATTATAACTTACAATGATAAATGACACAAAATATAGCTTTCAAACGGAGTGTTGAAAAACATAAAGGTACAAGTCAATAGAAAAAAAGTTAACATTCAACTGATTTCGTCAAACAGTTCTGAGTCAAACAGGTTCGGTTCAAGGTCAAATCGATTTAGTTTAAGATCATACCAGTTTAGTTTAGGGTTAGATCAATTCACTGTTTGAACTGACAGAATCATTCTCATATGCGCACGGCGGCACGTCCGGTGGTCATATTTCGACGAAAACTTCCAAAATTGTATTTTAAAATACAAAAAGTCACTTACAAGCATTGTTTTCCATTAAAAAATGACGAAGATGTGGTTTTAATGAAACACAAATGTTCGACTCTTCTCGATTACAAACTGCAACGTCGAATGACGAAGCAATGACATCAGACGAGTAGCGACGACTAGACGAGTCGATTGGTGCCAATGATTAGAGTCATTACAGCCTAAATAGTGATGAATTAACGAAAAAACCGAAAACGATGGTGGAGAGAGAGAAACGATCGAGGCTTGATTTGCACAAACATAAAAGAAAGAAAAAGGAAGGAAAGTTAGGGTTTAAAACTAGACTGATGGACTAATTATGCCATCAATCCCTACATTATTGAGAACTCACAAAAACATTAAAATTTTATAGAAACTTCAATGTAACCCAAAATTGGGATACGACGTTACTAAACCAAACAAATGTAACTTCTCAAATTGTCATTGTATTTATCAGTGTGAAACTGAGACATCACATATTAATGGTAGTGCAGCTTTTCTTAATATTAAAAGTACAAAATTTCAAGATACCACCGACCAAAAGTCAAAATTTATTAGGGAAAAGTAAACCTAGCCATGAGATGGTTTTTTCCTTCTTATCGTACAAGAATTTAACAACAATTAATTGTAAGAGATTCGTGAATATAAGAAAATATCTTTTGATTTAAAAAAATAATATCTTCAAAGGTCAAATATAAAAGAGATCATGAATATAGTAAAATTAGTTCTAAATCATATTCTTCATACTTAAATTTTATTATCTTTAAATCTAAAATATATTTTTAGAAATAATTAAGTGATTTATTGTTAAGGAAATATTTGTTAAACCATGAGAATAAAATTATTATTTTAGACTCAACTTGGTAAATAGAAACATTTATCATAAACAATGCTCCAACTTTAACCAAAATTCAACTGTAATCTTCTTATTCAGCCCATTTTATAATATTTGGTAAAAAAATTAATAAATTTGAAATAAAACTTGTTGATTTTACTGTTGTTTCATAAAGGCATCTAGATGTCAATATGGACTGAATGTTGACGCATGAATGATATATTCTGTGGACCGACAAGACCTCGAAAAATCATGTGTAAATATATGTAGTAGAGCTGGGACCACGCCCGCCGGCCGCCCAGGCTTTCGTGTAGCTTTACATCTAATATTTAGAACCAACAGTTCAAAAACTGGAATATATAAGGATACACAAATTTATTTATGTAGTCCGATGAATTTATTAACGTTCGTATGATTTTATTAGAGATTTATTTCATTAATAAGTTAATATCATATTTATTAATTAACATACGACAACTAGGAATGAAATTAGGATCAAATTATGAGAAGTAAATTATTTAACTTTAAAATATATAGTTTTTGTAATTGAATAAATCATAAAATTTAGAGGAGTTATGGTTTAATTTCATTAATTTTGAAATTGACAGCGTTAAAGAGTAACTAAACCAAAAAAAAAAAATAGAAGTTGAAATTTTATTTTAAAAATGAAAAGGTTCTAAAATATTATTAAACAAATAAATTTTCGGTGGAAAAAAATTTAATTGTAATATTTTAAAAATTATTAGTGACCTAAAACTAATTAAACCATCAAATGAGGGGAAGTAATTGTATCTCACACGTACCAGGTAGATTGCTCTCTCACCTACCAGGTAGATTCATCTCTGTAATAAACCTTAGTATTATTGCATCTTTAGTAACACATTATCACGAGACTCAAATTGTCAAATTCAAAATTGATAACGACCTAAAAAGTATTTGAATAAAAAATTAAGACTTGAGTTGTCTAAATTAAAATGATAGGGACCTGGCAAAAAATTAAACCAACAATTTTGCGGTAAGACAAGATAGTTGAGGCCTAAGGAACAATTACACTCAAAATATTTGGGGAATGATAATTTAGATATTTAACTAAATATTAATTTAAATACTTAAAAAAACATAATTTAAGCCAAAGGAACCCAAAAATACATAGAATCTTAACAACAATCATAATTAAGCACATTATCAAAGATTCAAAGACAAAAGCACAGACATACACACTGACATATTTTAGTAGAAAGTAGAAACAAATGGGAAAACAAGGATGAGCTCCCATTTTAAGAACCAGCTGATGAAATATTCCACATCTTCCTTAGATCCCTACAATCCAACAACACAGAAATCAAAACTAAAGAGAAAAGATTCAGGTTGATGGAAGAATAAGGTTCGATGTGGGAATCTTTTTTCTACTCCACCAATGGATTTATGGAATGAAAAGGATTAAGATAACAAACTCTTTATCAGTCAAATGAGAGATGAAACGCCTGAAGGCAAAAAAAAAAAAACATAAACCAAAAAAAGACTACCAAAAGAAGATCCAAATTTAGGGCATGTATCCAAAATAGATCAGAAAATTTCATCTTAGAGAGAGAGAGAGAGAGAGAGAGAGAGAGAGAGAGAGGAAACAAACCAGATCAACGGGAATCAACTTGGTCAGCCTTCTGAATTTCATCGAGAATTTCATCGACGTAATCTTTGACCTCGTCGTTCAACAGAGTGGCCAGCATGTTGACCTTTCGGAGCTGGTGAGCAGTGAGTTGGAGAGCTTGAAGATTCGGTGAGTTCGAGTCGGATCCGAGTTGCGGCAGATTTTCGTCCATTTCACCTATCAGCTCTGCTTGCACAGCCTTCATCTCAGCTGCCAGTCCTCCAAAGAATTTCACCCTTTCCTTCCACTTCTTCTGTAATCGTAAAACAAACTCGTTATAAGAATTCCAGGATAAAAAAAATTCAAAGGAAATGAAGCACGAGTATTTGAAACAGAAAATTTCAATTACAACCTCAATCTTTCTTTGATTCAGCTTCTGTTCTTTCTTTCCGGCAACCTTCTCCTCCGCTTGCTTTTTTCCGGTCATGGCTTCTCTTTGAACAAGCCAAATGGTTTCCCTTTTTCTTTTTCCTTCGCACAAGTAGAAGTGTCCGGTTTATTTTGTAGCTATATTATATATTTTTCAAAATCGGACCGGACATTGAACCGGTGAATTTATTGGTTTATTGGTTCACTGATTTAACTGGGTTTAATTGGATTCAATCGCGGTTGAACCGAATTTTATATAAAATAATTTTTTTTTTAATTTTACATAATATTCAAAATAATATTAATATATATGTAACATTTTTTTTAAATTTACAATATTAAAAGGTATAAAAATATCATAAGTCATAACATGTATAAATCAAAAACCATAAAATCAAATGAAACAAAATGATTCAAATCAACTACAACATAATATTTAAGGTAAAACATATTAAATAATAAATATAATTATATAACTATAATAAAAAAAAAATTGAGGTTTAAAAAAATCATAACAAATGATGTCATTTGGTTTAATTGTTTAAAAAAACAATTCCACATGGCTAAGAAACATAGAAGAGTATCCCAAAAGTTTAAAGAGTAAAAATATGAGAACAAAACAATCCCACATAACTAAGAAACATAGAAAAGCATCACAACTTACTTCTATAAATAATAGAGGTAATTTGACATTCAAAATCATGGAGCCTTTTGGTGAGCACAAAGCGAACTATTTTTCGCTTCAATTGAGCTCAAATTTTAGGCTTCAATCAAACTTCTAAATTTTTTTTTTGAGTTCGAGCCTTTTCGATTTCAAGTTTTAATATTATATTTCGAGTTGATAATTTTTAGCTCGTGAGTTTTTGAGTCGAGTTGAACTTACTTTTAAAGTTTTCGAGTTCGAGTCGAGCTCAGCAATACTCGAATTTGAATCGGCTCGTTGAACAAACGACGTTGTTTGGTTTAATTTTTTTTTAAAGAAAAAAAGTGAACCGGCAGTTCAAACCGGTTTTGCCGATTTTCAGCCAGTTCACCTCGATTTTCTCGATTTTCAACCGATTCTTCCGGTTCTTTATCGATTCTGTGCTAATCCATTTTTGGGAGTTAACCGAAGCGGACAGGTCACCGATTTACGGTTCAACCGGTCGAACCGGCTGGTCAGGTCCGGTTTTATACGCACGTAAACTGAAGCGATAGCGTGATAGGGTGGCGAAACCGTGTAGGCTCCACCCCCAAATCGCACGAATTAGGTCTAATGGGTTTCTCGTCTCGCGTTGCTCTTATCTCTCCACTCTTTACGATTTTTTTTAATATTTCGTTCAGTACTCTTTAGTCATTAGAACTAATGGGGATGATGTACACGTGGATTGAAATCTTCATGGCCATGAAGATTCTAGAATACATTTACGCTTTTAATTTCATATTTTTAGATTTTACTTACATAATAGTCATTGAGAACATTAATTTACATTTTATTATTAATTTTAATAATATGTATAAATTATAATTTTATTTTCTTCTTTTAATTCATTATATTTAAATGTATACATTCTGAATTGCTAGAATCTAATAGTTAAATCATAAATTATATATGGTATTAGAATAAAGTACAAAAATTAAAATATACATAGGTACATTCTATCAAATTGGTATCTAAAAAGATTTTATTTTTAGATTGGTATATGAATTAGGTATCTTCTCCCAAGTTAATGGCGATTTTCTCAAAAAATCATCCTGACCAACATTATTTACCTGTTGGATACATTTTTATCTTTATTTATCGATCTAACACTTTTTTGCAGTAAGGCGCGGCTTATGCACCTTGTCTTACGCCACATGGCAGAAGGCGCGGTCATGTACCGCGCCTTGTGTAACATGTAAAAAAATAGATGCTATTTTTGTAAATATTTTTAAAATAATGTCTAATATGTAATTAATTCCTTTTTGGGTGATATTTATAGAAAAACACCAATTTTATTTATTTATTTATTTATGTGATATTAGTTAATAATGTTTATTGACTTTTAAAATTAATTGTTTAAAAATATATAAATATTAAAATAAACTTTTAATTACAATTGAGAGATCAAATTAATTATTATTCATTTTTTTTAAAATCAATAAAAAAGAATTAAAAGTGAATAAAATTCAATAAAAATAGAATGTAAACCTAAAAAATATCACTTCTTTATTTAAAATATTCTTTTTAATATTAATTTTAAAAATATAAAATAAATATTAAATTCTAATTTTATTAAAAATGAATAAACGTTAATAATTAACTGTTGTTAAAAAATAATAATTAATGAATAATAATTCATTTGATCCCTCAATTGTAATTAAAAGTTTATTTTAATATTTTTTATATTTTTAAACAATTAATTTTAAAATACTTCATTCTCAAGACCTAAACTAGAATAATCACCCAACTATAAGGCATTTGATATTACCCAACTATAAGGCATTTAATATTTATATTTAAAATTTAAAAATTTAAACATTCTTTTATTTTTTTTTTAAAAAATAAAGGGTAAACTACTTGAATAATCACCCAACTATAAGGCATTTGATATTACCATTTTGGTGTAAGTCTGACGTTTTTGGTGAATGTTATTTAATTCTGTACTATTTGTTTCTTCCTATTATATGTGCTATTTAGTTTGGTTTAAGTAAATATGTCCCCTTTGTTATTTGTATCATGAAGGTTATTGTAAAGAGTGGGGATGATTGTAGGCAAGAGCATCTTGCTGTGCAGCTTATCTCTCATTTTTATGGTTTGTCCCTTTATTACAATTTTTGTGCTGCTCTTCTCCCAATATTCTTTTCTCATTTGCTTTGTGTCCACTCTAGTTGCTGTATAACCTTCAGCTTTTGGAGTCACGTTTCTGTCTACATCATATGTTATTAGAAATGATATGAGAAAATGTCAAGGCAGTGAATTTCCTTTTTCCCCTGTAGAAAGGGAGACATAACTCTGCACGCACAAAGATGATTTTCAATAAACTGTAAAAATTACACAACTCTTACTGAAACAATTCCAGATACGGTAACATAAACTTTTTCTGTTCAACCGACTGGATTGCATCTATGATTGGCTGTTTAAATGGTAATAGCTTTGCTGTTTTCTGCAGGCCTCTCTTCATTCTATCAAAAGTAGATATCCTAATCTATCAAGTTTACGTGAATTCTTTGCTGCTAAATATCAGGAAAATTCTCCAAGTTTTAAACTGGCATAGGTAATCCAGTTGCAAAGAGGCAGGTCTCTCCTGCTATTTTGTTTGTTAGGCATGTTCGTTCCTATATTTCAAATAATTGCCACGTTTTACTAAAATGTTTTGGCTTTATATTTAAGCTTTTAGGAGTGTGGTTGGACCATCAAGGCGAGTCAGAATTTACTTCTCTTTCTCTTTTTACCCTGGAGAAAAGTTATTTTTCTGTATTACTGCAGATACTAAGATTGTAATGCTCTAGTAATTGAAAGGAATGTTGTGAAATAATAAAAGACAGGAACATTCCTTTCCACTACTATACTATTTTAGAGTTAAGACAGCAATTTCGGTTTTTGTCGTCATGGACAATTTTTATACTCTTTTTTAAGCTGCAGTGTGATTTACATTTTATGCTATTTTGAAGTTTTTTTTTATGAGTTACCTTAAGGTTACTTTCATTTTGAAGAAATCATCCTATGGTAACCAGTTCTTTGTGGTTATTGACAAATCTTGCTAGCTGATGACAGTTACCTAGTAGTATATGCTGACTGCTTGATGTGCTTGGTTCTGATTTGTGCAAATTATCTTTATATTTGCAACTAGGTGGATCACTCTTGTTGGTGTCTTTTGTTAGTAATAAAATTTGTGATTGCGATACACTTCTTGATTAACTTCACTGGTCAAATCCAAGCCTTATGTGACAATGGGATGTAGGAGCAAGATACATTAGTTGCAGCGTTCCGTTGGATGGTAACCTATTCCTCCTCTTTGGAATGCTGTAATGTGTACAAGTTTGTTTTAGGAAGATGAACCTTTCTGTGGTTTTCTGATTGGTTGACATTATTCAAAGAGTTATGTGAAGGGTATTCTGTTAATATGCTTTGTTATCTTGCATGCTTATGCCCTATATTTTTTTTTTGGATAAGTAAAATTTTATTATCCAAGAAAGCGTTCAATACAAACATCCAAACAAGGATCAAGAAGCTATGTACAACAAAAAATCAGTTAGCCTATACCCCAATTGTTATAAAGAAGAGAATTGACATTATCAATTCTATTAAAGTCCCTATTGCTAAGCTGAGCACTAACAATACCCTTAATGGAATTTAACATTTCATCTACCGTACGAGTTCTTCCATGGAAAATCCTCCTGTTTCTTTCCTCCCAAACTGTGTATATGAAGGAACACCAAGCAATCTTCATTATGGAAGTAAGGAGCGATTTACTTTTCCACGTAGAAGTTGCCCAAATGATCAGATTGTCCCATGACATTTGCGGTTTGAGCAGATGGTTGAGGCTTATGATGTGCTTCCACAGGCTGGTAGCAATTCTGCAGCTCGCAAAAAGGTGATTTCTCATTTCCAAAGGATCATTGCAAAGAGGACAAGAAACATTAGTAGTAATTCCCATTCTAGATAGTCTCTCTCTAGTAGGAAGTCTGTCTAGGATAGCCATCCAAGAGATGATGCTGAGTTTAGGAATGTGCATGGGAAACCAAATGAACTTGTGCCGTGTGACTTTAGGATACTTAGCTCTTATCTCCTCCCAAATGGATTTGGTAGTCTTAGGATTAGCATTAAGAAAATGAAGAGCTTCGGTTCTAAGTTTCAAAAGACGTTTAAAACTCCAACTAGCAGAGGAACTTACTGTCATGACTCTAAAGTCATTAGATTTAATCACATAACAGTAAGTCCAAGCTATCCATAAGGATCCTTCTCCAGCAAGGAGGGATCGAATGAGCTGCATCATAATAGACTTGTTCCAAGTTTTAAGATCCTTTAATCCTAGGCCACCTTCAGATTTTGGGCAGCAGATTTTTGCCCAGCTAACTCGTGCTCCACAAGCTGCAACATCATAACCC